TAACTCCAGCTATGGTATTTATAAATGTATTATGTTTTGTAAAAATGTTATTTAACTTTCTTTCACACAGAACAGAACAGGTTATCTAGTAAGTAAAATAAAGTTTATTATTATTATAAATACATACTGACCGATTGTATGTCTATGTCGAGTATGCTTGTTCCCCCAGTCAGTTTGTAACTGCCTAATTACAATATGGTTTATCCTTAATACCTGTACAGAACACATTTTAGTTTTTGAATGTTTCTCACTGCTGCAGCAAAAAATAAAGCATGGTAATCATTACATTACCTTTATGATGTAAGTTGTCAAACCTGCTTCATCTGGCGATGGCAGAACTCTGTACTGGTGAATCCTTCCTTGACACCTGTAGATAAAAAATAAATAGTCAACTATCTTGTCTTGATTTAAAAAAGTTTACAAATTTAAAAAAAAAATTGAAAATATTTTATTTTCTAGGGTTAAATTTACAGCACTGCGGGTGCTGCCTCCTGTTCTGATTTACGTTGAATACACTATTAACAATGAGGGAGTTAATTGTTTCCAAATATGATGTCATGAGCGAACACATTAAATGCACAAATAACTCTGATTTATCATTAACTTCACCATTATTAACATTATCTGTATGATAGATCTACCAAAAAATATTGCAAAATGTTGTCCCTGGACTAGTAAAACTTTTTTTTTCTAAACGTCAAAATTATCTGGAACTAATAATCAGTGTCCAAAAGTCTATTGTATTGTCCCAGGAAAATAATCAATTGACACCATCCATTAGGATTTTAGTGTTGTCTTGCTGCAACAGCCTATAACATGACATAACTCATGAATGATTATACACGTAAATAAACCATGCCTGGCAGACATGGAAGACATACCATACTTGCTTTTACATGCATCAAAGACCAGCAACTATGGGGCTCTATGTATCTATAATACCCTTGAAAAGGGAAACAAACTGTAGTCATGACTGACTGAAGCTAAGGTAACACAGGAATGGGGAACCGTTTCCATGAGAGTTTCTAAAATAACAAGCCATGCATGGCACAGTTCCCGTTAAGAAAAGTATTATGAAATTAGGAAATCAATCAAGATGTTCATTTGAACTACAAAATGGAGTAAAACAAGGATGTCCCTGGAGACTCTTTTTTTTAAACATTGAATGTCGCTGTTGTCTCTCCTGACTTTTTTTCTTTTTTGTAAGTGCAAATTGCAAGTGCTAGTGCTGACACATAGTGCATTTTGCCACAGAACTCATTTCCCGTTTGGGACTACATGACAGGGTTGTGTGGCCATCTCCCTATCAAATGGCAATTTTAATGAGCTATCTTGGCGTCAACCAAGCTCGGTAGAACACAAGCACCTGCGGACCTTAAACCAAGGTTCCCCCAAAGTCGCATTCGTTAGTGTATGAATCTCAGCCAGTGGAATTGGTCTTCCCATTGAGTTTGTGGCACACTCACCCAGGGTAGGGGTTGATATGTTAACTCATGAAATTCATGGTACTGGTAACTGTATTATTTCACCATTTATTTCTTTGACATTTTCTGCTGACATTTAAGCTGTATTCTAAACAAATCATTATTATTATTATGTATGTACCAAAACAGGAATATCAAATATTCTTTAAGGTGATAATAAAGTATTCTATTCTGTTCTGTTCTGAGTAGATCAGGAAGCATGTTTTTACTTCTATGCTTACCGGTATTATTATACCCTGTATATGTAATGATGAACCATGGTGATTCTTGCTGTCATTTATTTGTGGAGGATAATCTTAAAAAATAAGTGTGAAACAGTGAAAATAATTCCATTACCAGACATAATTTTAAAATGTAACAAGTCGTTGTTATTGACAAAGTCCCTTTTGCAAGCCATATTTGTTCTAGAAAATGTAGTATTGTGGATTCAAATGTGGTATTTTTTCTTCTGTACGTTCCCAGTTTTCTCTGATGTTATTTTTATTGTCAACATGGATATAATTTTTCCAAAATAATGCTTTAATTTAATTTTTTGATGGAGTTTCTGTAATTATTTTGTCAGTGTTAATAAATAATTCCTGATTCCTAATAGCAAGTTGGGTTCCACTTCCTTGTACCATTTACCGTTGATTTTCTTCTTTAAATCTGCAGCTCCTTTAAGAAGGGTGTTATTTGTATGCATTATGCGACTGTAATATTTGATCATTTGATTAATATCCTAATACGTATCTGCTGAGTTCTCCATAAATGCCCATTTTGGGAGAGTAAATTGACAGTAGCTTATACATGTCTGTCCCCAACGGCAAATTTGTAATTACTTTCATCTCATCCAGATGTCTCTGCCATTAACTAATATTGGTCAAATTAGCTTATGGAATAGTGATAAAAAATAGTTATTTTTACATTTCGTTTATATCTTATAATTTCTTTAATTGCGAATTTTGCCATTTCAGTTAAAGTTAATTGATCATCATTTTTTTGAACTTTGTATTGGGACTCAGTACAATAATCAATAATCAAAAAATTTAGTTTGGTTAATTTCATTCTTTTCAAAAAAAAGTAGATTACTGTTAAAAAGTCTATTTCGTTTATTGAACACTTTAATTTTTGTTTTATTTCCAGTTATTGGTGTATTCTGAGAGTTTATCAAGACTCATATGCAAGCTTTTTTTTGTTTCAGAAGGAATCACAATAATGTCTGTGTATAGAAGTCAGCTAACCAGGGGGTATCGATAGGTTATTTACATGCACTGTGATAAAATACCTAAAAGATCATTAATGAAAATATTGAATAGTGTTGGGCTTAGATGACACCCATTTATAAAAATGATGTTGTAAGCCCCTAATCATCACTGTACTGGTTTTCTAATAATTTTGTTCTCTATTTTGTAGAAGTTGGTCGACAGTATCATGTATTTGGTTATCAGACTTATGTGGGTTTAGTAGTTTTTAAAGTAGGTAACCCAATCATTTTGGGGTTGGGATCGCTTGATGGATTTTTAGAAGTTCCATTTTTTATTCCATGTAAAATTTTCCAGAAAGTCAACGGTATCCTATTTGATTTTTCAAGATCATGAAGTTGTTCAAGTTATTTTTGTTTTTTCTTTTGTTTAATTGTTTTTTTTACCACATATACATCTAAATGAGTCATTCAGGTATTTTCTAACTAAGTTTGGTATTGAACATTTGAGCTTTTTCTACAATAATCAGCAGTCATCATCAAGCCATACTTTATGTTTTGTTTTTTATTTAGTTTTTGTTTAGTTTGGAACTGCTTTAATTGTTTTACACTTTGGTCTGCTAGAAATAAGCGATTCAAAATCAAAATTTATGTTTTTTTGTTTGATACCTTGATTTTCATTAATGCACATGCAGTGTCTTTCGATTATAAGCTCCCATATGTATATTGGAGGAAGTGGGTTTCAAATTATTTGACTGTTTGTTTTTCCTCATACATGCAGTATTTTCATTCACGAGGACTGACACTGTTATTGGACAGTGATCAGACACATGTGATAAAGAATTCATTTTGAACTGATCCAACAGTATTTTGGTAGTTATACCGACATCTATTGCACTATGACCAGGAGGGGTGTAGCAAGTAAATCAACCAGTTGAGTCTCCTTCTGTACTTCCATTTAAAATAATCATATTACTCATTTAGCAAAGATCAACCAATTCTCGACTATATATGTAAATACACCCATGTACAAGAATTAAAAATCACGTCAGGATTATTTCTGGTTTTGAAATTGTTATTCATGTAATTTGATGGAATTGAAAGATGTCATCTACAGTATCCAATTAGATTTCCTATTCTGGAATAAAATATTATTATATTTTTCTCTAGAATTTGGAATAAATGAACATTGTTATTTTAAAACATTGGTGAGTATGGTAGTTCTCGGGGTGGGTCTGTTGTTAGCAACAATTTGTCAATTTTGCACTATAAAAAATAATTTGAGCTTTCCTTTACTACACTAGTTGAAATGTACTTTTTGAATTATTTTTAGTACAAGACAGCAACTCCTCCTCTCTGGTGTCTAGGAGGTTTATTAGCCACAGTCCTTGTGTTTTGGCCAAGAGTTTTCACCATACAAATGTTTTATAACACACTATTGAATTTGAAGCATATATATTTTCTTGCACTAAAAACAGTTATGCAGCCAATAAAGTAGAAGATGAAAAGCTATATTCTACTAATATTTTTCGATGATGTTGTTCTGTAACACATTGGCCATTTCCGGGGTGTTAACACACATTCGTTACCTGCATGGTAATACTTACAGAACACAAAGTGCGTAAGCTCCCTTCATACTCTCGCTTTCGCGTACAAGGAAACTACCGTCTTTTCCAGACGACATCAGTAGTTCTTCGGCCTTCATTCGACTCAGCTGCCCGTGATACCACGACATAGTAGACATATTGCTAATTTTGACAACAGGAAAGTCAGAAATATACTTCTTACCCACCACCCACGCACGGACCTTTGAATCTTTACTTCAACTCGTTTCCGAAGAATAAAAACGAATACTTCCGGATTGTGATACGGGACGCAAGAAGCATTTTTAAGATACTATTCATAACATTGTACGCCGTGATGGTCAAGGCGACTTCCAACCACAGCCGTCGAATACTTCACATAAGATTTTCTTTCGTGGACAGGTATCGCAACATTGAGCTAATGAAATAACGGAGTGTTCAACAAATTCTTCTTTTTACGTACTTCCTTGACAAACTTAGTTCAGAAGGGCCGCCATTTAAATTTATGAATACTCTCGCAGTTCACGAAACATTTGTTCGAGATTCTGAACGTGATTATAGTTCACTGTGGCATGACATCTTCCTGACACACGTCTTTAGATGGTCACCATGGACGCGATTAATCGGTCAAAATATAATTATTATGAATCAAAATGTAATGTCGAAAATATTGAAAATAAAACTTGTTGATCGAAACACAGAATATAAATCTGAATTTATGATTGACCTTTGACTGACATGACGTCACGTCAGTCAACTATCATTTCATTCGAGAAGTACATCGCTTGATAAAACTGCTTAAAATGTTGCGATCTGGTCGTCTGATCACGGTTATGAAACATGCTGCGGCTAACAGATATGTTATGCCTGCAGCAAGGTAAGTTTTGCTTCAAAACAAGCTTTTCTTTTCTGAAACACCATCTAATGTCAACAACCTGTGTACGTGTACTACCGGCGAGTGTTGTTGTTTATATATTCGTATTACAACATGTTACTCGTACTTTATTGCGTGCGCACCGTCAGCATTATTATTAGATTAAAAGTGTCTGCGTAGGGTACTAATTGTTATCTTCCACCAAGACAAAAACACAAAACTGTTATATGAGGTACAAAAATGTAAACAAAGCCAAATGTTGCGGTATCACACAAAGGGATGCTAGTTTTGTGAGTTACCATGCATTACGTAACATCGTCGTATTGTTTTACCGTGTTTCTAAATTTTTTGGCAATTTTGTGTGTTAATTTTGTGGCGGAAATAATCATGGAAGTAAAACAAGACTTCTGTGTCCTTGGGATGAATCATGTGTCTCATTTTATGTTCAAAAAACACCTATAAACTAAAGTCTTTCTATCCCTGTTCTGACAATGTTTATTGTTTAACTTTAAAGCGCGGCTCCGCAATCCCAGGGATTCTACCAGTGCATCATGGGAAATGTAATTTGTATGGTCCGCCCAGTTGTTTACTTGGTACACAGCTGTTATCATTTCAACCAAACATGTTTATTCCGTAAGCTAACATAATGCATTACGCTATTATCCGATTTGAACAGACTTATTGGATCGTGTTCAACTCTCACGGTGTCCCCACAATCTGTTGAAATCAGTTTTCTTACTTGTATCATGGAGCTTCTTATTTAGTTCCGTGCTTGCACGAAACAGCAAATCGTCATAAATAATTGTGGTTTATTTGAATGATCTACACAATGTATAGTATCGCACAGTACAACATTTGCCATAATTTGTTTTGTCGACTAGGCAATAATGACGTTACGTAACGTGAGGCGTCAACAAATTACATTGTAAAAAGACAAAACAAAAAACTTTGTGATACGCCTGTGTGGCACGGGCATACCCAGTTGCCTAACGCCAAGTACAATGTATACATGAATTCATGCGTGACTCATACGTTACAAATCACGCACTTGCGTGCATTTTTTTACGCAATGTTTCACTTCTGGGATATATTTCAGGGAACATTTTTTGCGAGATCTTTCTTTTTATTTATTTCGAGTCACATTTGTACTTTTTCAATTGTCGAGAATGTCATATATTAAATTCAAGAAGCATACTTGACATATTGTCAGGGACATATTTGTTGACGAGCCCCTCGAACGAACCCCGCTATTATCCTGTTGTCATGACCAGCCAGGCCCGTCACATTTCAGCCGCCAATGAACTAATCTAAGCGGCCAGTACCCACAGCTTAGTTCATCTTGTCATCGATAATGGGGTGAAAACCATCTTTTTTCCCTGACCTAGTTCACCTCTGTTTCCGCTGGAAAAATAAGAATCAAGCAAGTTTACAAACCCTGTAACCACGAATGGCTTTTTTGCACACATACACTAAGGAAGTTATTGAAATATTTGCGCATAGTCCCTCCCCTCTCGTGCACACCTCAGCTCGTGCCATTCGCACTTGCTTGGGCCGGACCATTTCATGTAGCGCTGACAGCACCCTTGAAGTGGCCAGTAAAACAGCTCACAGCATATCATAACTTATTAGCTCCATGATATCACTTACATCATCAATTCTGTAATTACATAAACATACCTAGAGATTGAACCAACAGCTTGCACCTTGCATTTGTATAAACCTATGACTGACTGTCATTTTGAGTAGTCAAAACTTCTGTCTGAATCATGCCTTCTCGTCACTTTTACATGGAAATCACACTGACATCGCTCTGAACTTGTAAATTGTATCACGGATATATTCATGTTTGTGTGCGACATGATAATAATGCACCACACACAGGCGCTAAGATTGTAGAAAAGAGTGATTTTGCGAAGCACCTCGAAGTGATGTTTCATGCTTGAGTGTCATTTGCATACTGAAAACTGGCTGCCATCTTTTCTTTTATACACCCGAGCCGGTTTAAGGTGTAATCAGCTGGATTAGCGGGACAACGCTCGTGATTTGATGTCTTGATTTGAATGTTTTTGGCAAGAATGAATTATGTATCAATTATTTCACATTTTAACAGTAAATATTGTTATTCTATGTGATGTTTCTTCCTGTGAAGATATGAGCCATTTCATTCCCATACATTGTGACATTTTACATCACATGTAAATCTATTCACACATGCGTAACCTACCGGTACTTAACAACGGGGGAGGGTAGGACAAAAAAATAAAAAGACAAAAAAGCACTGATAGACGTGCAACCCGGCATATTGGAAACAGTTTTTAAAGATAGCAGAATGAGTGTGGGTGGAGTACAAAAGGGAAAGCCACAAAAACTATATATTTAATACAGCTGAGAAGCATGGATTGAAAAAGATGATTTTTCCTAGAAAATGAACTGAGATAAAGATAGTACATGTGTTTCGCTGAGTAAATGTGACCGTGACATTGTTTTTCAACTCCCAAGGCTAAAAAACTATGAAAACATTATGCTTATAGCCAAAGATAATTTGCATGTTTGTTTTTCTTGCTTAGGCAGAATGGTGTGCAAATTTTCAGAGGCTGATACGAATTAGTCAAAAGATGATAGCACTTTTATATAAAGGGTTTTTTACACTGCAAGCTGGGAAACATGGACGACTCTGCAACTCGATTGTAACATATGAAATCTGTCCTACCTTCCGTTTTGTTGACCTCAGGTCACATAATATGTGCAAGCACAAAAACATTAAACATGCAAATTTGAATTGAATGTTCTCTGCGATGTGAATATTCTTGTAGTGAAGAAACATTAATAATGATTAGATCCTTGTTAACTGGAATTGATGAAAGCTGCAGATACTCGGCCACCTAATAGAGCTTAGAATTAATTCTTGTAATATTTTTTTACTGCTTATTAATTTTTCTTATTCTTCATGTAGACCAGCAGCTGTTGTTCTGTACCAGGATCAGAGATTTAAAGCTGCAGCAGCTGCTTCTCAGCCCAAGCCACAACCAGAACAGGTAAACAACTTGTCACTTCAAAAACAGCCATACACCATGTTTCTTGGTAATTACATATTTACACACAATATATCAGAACCCTTTTGGATTTACACTTGGCTAGTGAGGGGGTGGGGGGCATTTCTGCACAAAGAACACAACTTTTTTTGATTTATCTGCATTTTTTCAATTGAAAATATATAGAGAAGTAAATCATTTTTGTGTTTTTTTTTACCCCATAAAATTATTCAAATTGTCAGGCAAACTGCTTAAGATACTCCTGTATACATTATGCTTGGTGTGGGTAGATGTGTTTTGAATCATTTTTTAACGAGGTACATGATGTAATGTACATGTCTCAAACATCTTACCACATCCAGTCTTCAACCAATGTTAAGATTATGTAATTATGTCTTTTTTTCTCTATCTATAATCTGATACAAAATGTAGGTTCAAATCTAGCACAGGTTTATCTTGAATGTTTACAAGTAGGCCATATTTAGCTATTTTTGATTTTTTGACAGGAAAGTAAATCGTTTGCCATGGGTTTGTTTAAAGGACAAGTTTATGCAGACCAAGTGTTTCCATTTCCAGAAGGTAAGAGTTGATGGTTTCACCACAGATAAATTCATTGTGGATCTACACATGTACATGTATGTTTGAAATTCACCAATAGACCCAACCTTGGATTCTATGCCAGTGCTCAACTCTTTACAAAGTTGATTGATGCAAGCTGAGCTAGAATGACATTTCCATTCTATACCACTCAGCAAAATTATGAAAAAATAATTTCACCATGGAAACCAGTGCGAAAATGAGAACTGTTGTCATTTTTTTTTGGACATTTCAGACTCTTGTTTCTTGCCCCCATTTTTGTTTTCATTGTTGTATCCTTACAACACTAGTAACATACATTAATGAAAGTCTGAAAAAGATGACAATATATTGGTAATCTTACTTCAGCCCCAACCTAAATTATTACAATTAGAATCTGGGAAATAATCTTGGAAACCTATCTGAATGTTTAAACCAGGCATTGTGAATGATACAGCAAGACATTCCTTCTACCTTTTCAAATTCTATATTTTTTGTTCACATTGTTTTGTTTTTTCCCCATAGTACTTACAGAGGAACAAAAGGAAACGTTAGAGATGCTCGTAGACCCAACAGCAAAATTCTTTGAAGTAAGTGTGGTCACTGAGAAAAATGAAAAGTGAGATAGAAATTAAGAAAACAATCTCATTCTCGAATTCAATAGTGTATTTTCATGCCATGGCAAATTCTGTCTGCTTGGTCAAAAAATAACAGTCAAGGCAAAATTTTACATTGTACACTTCATGGAACGACAATATTGTTTTCTGTAATATTGTGCAAACTGCCCATTTATGTGAGTGGTTGTTTTAAAATTCTTGTGAATCTTTTTGTTCAGGAGGTGAATGATGCAGCTAAAAATGATCAGCAAGAAACAGTTGATGATGAGACGTTACAAGGGTTGAGAGAAATGGGTGCTTTTGGCCTCCAAGTACCTCAAGAATATGGTGGGCTTGGTTTAACCAATACACAGGTAAGAAATATCATGGTTAAGTCTTGAACTAGGCAATGAAAGGATAGTGACTATCATGCATTTCTCTGCAGATTTAAAATTTATATTTTATCTTTATGTATTTATATAGAATAATATAGTGTATTTTATTATTTATATTTCTGTGAAGAATATGTTTGTTGCAATGTCGAGAGCAAGACAATAACACCATGTTGATGAGTCAGTCTAATGCATTTATGACTTGGATGTACTTTGACCGATTGATGTAACATGTTGATACATGTAGTCAGACAAGCAGAATTGCCCATTTTATCAGTGATCATATTAAATTAATCAGTGCATTTACAATTTTCATCTTTTTCCCTGGTTTCAGCATTTTAAAAAGTTGTGATCAAAGCTAGAAAGCAGTTTAGAATTTTGATTGAATTTGTCTAATTGTAATTTTTAGTGATGATTAAAGTCTGTATTCTGTACATGACATCTGTACATGACCTCAAACAATTGTTACTGAATGATTCGGTTTGTTTTCTATTGCAGTATGCTAGACTTGTTGAAATCGTCGGTGCTCATGATCTTGGAGTAGGGATTGTTTTGGGTGCTCACCAGTCTATCGGATTCAAGGGAATACTTTTATTTGGAGACAAAAAGCAAAAGGAGAAGTATTTGCCTCAAGTTGCATCGGGAGAAAAGATTGCCGCCTTCTGTCTGACAGAACCTGCCAGTGGTTCTGATGCAAGTGTAAGTTACTTTGTATTGCATTGTACAAATGTTTCAACATTTACTCCACTATTTGACCCTGAAATAGCCAAGAAACCTACATATATCCGGGATACTATTGGCCGATCTTGTTTGAACTTAAAATATTGGTAACGCAAATTGGCATACTAAGGTACATTCATTATTTTTCTTGTTTTTTACAAAATTGGCTGCCTGGCGAACATTTTGTATGTCAGAAATACTTTTTTTTGTTCATTTTTGCTTAAAACTTGAAAATACAATCACTAAATTAATTCAGTATTAGTACAAAGGTAATATATTATTTCAGGAAGATGCAAGTTGATTTTTGTTGAGATTCTAGCCAACTGGCAGCCATTTTGTTTTTGTCTTTGTTTGCACAATTTCTGCTTATATCTCGAATTTAGGCTGTCTAATTAGGTCCAAACTTGTTCACAAACAATTGTGTTCTAGCACATCAACAGGGCAACCATTCAGCTTAACATTTTGCCATTTAACATTTTTGAGTCATTGGACAACAAAAGGGTTCTGATTCTTTCCAGTGAAAACTATGTAAGCAACTGGCTGATATATCCAGGAAGTACAAATGTACAGATGTTTACTTACCAATAGAAATAACAAATATATTTTTTTTTTCTGTTTTCAGTCAATTAGATCCAGAGCTGTACTTAGTGAAGATGGTAAACATTATATTTTAAATGGCAGTAAGATCTGGTAAGTAAATCTGCTGATATTTTGTTGTGTTTTTTGCCATAATTGTATGATCAGTACAGCCCTTATTAATAACAATCCGCATGTGCCAAAGGGTGGGGGTAATTTTATTATTTTTATGAAATGGTAAAATTTTGGTTCTCAATTGTTTAAAAAGAATGGGTACTACTTCTATTAGTGATGCGGCTTATAATACAGATTTTACTGGGCTGTTAATGTTTTTAACACCAAAATTATGGTGCAATATTTTGTACATTTTCACATATTTTTCTATAATGGTGACGTAAATAAATTTATGTAGGTTTATTTTGTGAAAAGTTACAAAAGTTGATTTCAAATGATCGAATAACCATGAAATGTCATAGTTAAAAATGTTAATGTCATTATCAAAGTTTCTCATATGTATCAGTTCTACTGGTATTTAATTTTAATAGAAAGGTTTGCCAGTATATTGCAGCCTAATTGTTACTAATGTGACGTGTAACTGTCTACTCCAGGATCAGTAATGGTGGTACTGCTGAAATATTTACTGTGTTTGCACAGACCCCAAGCCCAGATGGTAAATCCAAGGACAAGATCACTGCGTTTATTGTTGAAAGATCTTTCGGTGGTATTACAAAGTAAGTAATCATCTATTAAGTTTAGGAAATTCAACAAATGGCCATTGGTTTACGAATAGCCAGAGTTTTTTGGGTTAGAATTGTATAAATGGCATGAGGCTGACTTATACAACAACAAAAATTATAAAATTGACAGATTCAGCAAGCACACTGTACAATGAGCAAACAATTGTTTATTAGACAGTGGATAATTAAAAAAAAGTTATTTTCATGGTGTGAATTATAATTATATAAAAATTATAATTCCCTACATTAGTGGACCACCTGAGAAAAAGATGGGTATCAAATGTTCCAACACTGCAGAGCTGTATTTTGAAGACGTTAAGATACCGGTGGAGAACGTTTTAGGAGGTGAGATGATTGAATCTTAAAGTCAAAGAATAAAAAAAATCAAATTATATCAGTGCATTGGGGATCATATTTGCCAATCAATAGTGAATGACGTACTGTATATGTGATTATTATACATCTACTACCAAAAACGATAGGACTTGAAAAACGTATCAGCAGACGTCCCAGTACAGGGGTTGTATTGACCTTTGCTATGCGTTGGTCGATACAATCACCGTACTATCTGAGTGTATACTTTGCAGTATTCTTGTGATAACCTCATATTATCAAGAATTAACACTGAATTAATTCAATTATATAGGTGTTGGTGGTGGCTTCAAAGTTGCTATGAATATCTTAAACAACGGTAGATTTGGAATGGGTGCTGCATTGTCTGGAACCATGAGGGCACTCATACAGAAAGCTGTAAGTTACAATTACCACAAACACAACCTTTATTATTAGAATTATATTATAACATGGTCCATACCTTTTGTAGTGCTTCTTTCCATCTTTTCTAAAATGAACAATGTCTTGTTTATTTATTCCCATGCTGTGCTATGATCTGCCTGCCCTTACACAGGGCAAGCCATGTGTAGTTTAACTATGTTTGTTATATGGTATGACTCCTCTATTTGTTATAATTCCAACTTTGTAAAAAATTCAACTATATAAATTACCAGGTAAGCTGTGTGTGGTTTTGGGAGATCCATAATACAGTTGACAAGCTAATTTTACTAGTTTGATTGTATGGAAACATGTTTACATACATAAACACTGAACCAACTTGTCTGAATTTTGCACACTTTTTTTGCACAATTAGAAGGACAAATTGCTAAATTAAATGAAAAGGGGAACTCACACTTTGGAAGTGGTTCCCCTGTTAAATGCATAGATTACAGGTTTCATTTGTACTTTAGCCAATGTTAGCTATTATTATTTAACAGCCTAATAAAAATGCTTCAAACAAAAATATTGCCTGCCTGAATGTGTTTTAACTTTCTGCAACAGTCATTATCCACTTAGTCATTGCTTATCAATTACTGGGTACATACAAGCCCCTTACTCCCATCCAGGTTGTTGACAAAAACATTTTTGTACCATTTTGCAATATTTTCTATATGTTCTTCAGGAATTGCATTGATTGTTGTTTTACAGGCTGACCATGCTGCAAACCGCACACAGTTTGGTAACACCATAGACCAATACGGTGTAATACAGGAAAAGATTGCACGCATGGCAATAAAGCATTATGTGACAGAATCCATGGCATATATGATATCGTCCAATATGGATGCCGGCTCCAAGGAATTCCAAATTGAGGCAGCTATTGGTAAAATTTATGGCTCAGTAAGTATTACTACCGGTACACTCAGTAGTGTTAATTGGATAGTTCCTGTCACATTACTTGGGCATGGGGTGGGGTCATCTCTGTAGCAATGACTAAATACAGAATTTCAGTTTAGCTTTTTAGCAATATTATCATCTGTTGTCATTAAAATGGCCCTGCTTTCAACCATTGATGAAAATCTATAAAAAAAATAAACATAAGTAATATCTTCTTTGAAGCTATCGGGTATAATGTATATACCGGTACTGTATTTGCTCTATTAAAAGTGTTTATGGTAAAAAATAAGTCATATTTTAATAATCCAGTATAATTATATATATGCTCCAATTAGAAATGTGATTCAAATAGAGCAAATATGGTACTGTCTTTACTGTACTACATTGGTATACTCAGCAACACAGCAAAATGGTTAATGATGTAGTATGGGTAATATGGCAAGTCATCATATAAATGTACATGTAGCTGTGAACATTTACAGTAGTGGGTTTGAAATATTTTCTTCACTGTTTCTTTTAGGAGTCTGCATGGTCTGTGGCTGATGAGTGCATTCAAATCTGTGGTGGCATGGGATTTATGCGAGACTCTGGAATAGAACGAGTTATGAGAGATCTTAGGATATTCCGAATATTTGAAGGAACCAATGATATCTTGCGACTTTTTATTTCTCTTACTGGTATCCAGGTAATGTGCAATTGTGTCTAGATTGCGGGTTGACCATTACAAATTCTGGACGATCAGACTTTTGCGAAAAGATGATCAGCACTGGAAATATTTTAGAGAAAAAACAAAACAAAAAATTTATAGAAAAAAACATACATTTGATAGATGAGAAAAAAAAACTTTCTTCAGAATAAAAAGTGAAGGAAAAAATCACCCAGGGTTTTTAATGGTCAACCCTGTATTATAAGATATGCTCAAGATTTCTTGGTGAATGTTTATCTGTCATAATTTCAGTTTAAATGCAAGATATTAAATAATTTCAGAATGCCGGTGGTCACTTGAAAGAATTACAGAAAGCCTTCAAGAACCCAGCAGCTAATTTTGGGGTAATTGTAGAAGAAGCCAACAAGAGAGCCAAGCGTATGATGGGTTTCACTCAGGGACCATCCCTAGCTGAGTACACACACCCTAGTCTATCACGATCGGCAAGTCAGTCGTCTAAAGCTATTGCTGAATTTGGCATGTCAGTTGAGGATCTACTGATAAAGTTTCGCAAGAACATTGTCCATGAACAGTTTCTTTTATGGAGAGTTGCTGAAGCTGCAATTGATATCTATGGCATGGTTGCTGTATTGTCCAGGTTAGTGTAAAATGGTGCTTCCCTTTCACTGATTATTTTTTATTCTACCATTTAACTCAAAGCGATGCTGTCTATGGTGAAGTAATTTGTAACCAATTCTAATACTCCGTAATTATGTGTTGGGTTGTGACTGAAATTCCCCTTGCTGCAAACCAACTGATTAGCCTCCTAGAGTCAAGCAGGGAAATACTTCTGAAAATGTTTCAATGTTATTCAATCAGCAGTGAAATAGGGAATAGTGAAATTTATAATGATTAATATAACTTTTTTCTTGAAAATCTGACAGCTATCTTTTGTGGATCATAGACATTATATTTTTGTTTTCAATACAGAGCATCACGGTCGTTAAATGAAGGTCATAGCACTGCCGAACACGAAAGTATGATGTGTCAAGTCTTCTGCAATGAGGCTTCCGTCAGAGTGGCAGAGAACCTGATGGCGGTGAGGGATGCCACAAACCTCAGTAATTTCAAGAAGCTTTCGCAGATTTCAAAAGACGTCATCTCGCATGGTGGTGTAATGCAACAGCATCCATTGGGATTCTAAAATTGACAATGTCTGTTCACTTGACACAGTCCATTGTAAGGAATGACTGATTGGCAGTTTACAGCAATAATATAAATGCAGGTGTCTATTCTGAGATGTGCATGTCTATTACAGTATTTATTGACATTTAGTTTGACAGTCCAATTATCTCAGTTCAATAATTTGGATACAGCAAATACGGGTCTGTTTATTTGAAAGTTTTGCAGTTCAACTATTTTTACAAATGTTTGAACTGAACTGATGTTAAGTGTAAGGAACTTATGAGTGATGCTGTGATCTATAAATTATTTATTGATCTCATACTTAATGTCATTATTCCATACTCATGTTTACCATGGTAATGGTACCATTTACATTTTCAGCTTGCTTTTGGAAATGCAATTCATCTGCAAATGTATAATTAAACATTTATTTGTTGGGAAAAAGAGTAATTAAAGGTGATTCACTTCCTCATTGTGCATGTGTAAGTCCGTCATCTTTTAAGCGCAGCGGTCATTTAAAAAATAATTTTGTGTGCCAACTTTTTTGCAGGTCAATTTACTAAAGCATTTCACATTTACCAATATTTGAACAACTGATTCCTCAGAATTACATACACACTTAATCAAACACAACTTTGATCAATAATTTATGAATTTTTGCTCGGACAGATTTCACATACTTGAACACTGATTTCTCAGAATACACACCTACATGAACACTTCATCTTTCAGTTTTTTGTGAATATTTGTACTTTTCACTGGAATGCAATGCCATTTCAATGCAAGGGTGGGGCTCTTTTCCCACCCACATACTGTTGCCATCTCACTGCTTCTTGTTGTGGTGACCATTTGGAATATCGTCTCTGCTTTGTTTGTCAAATTTTTAGAAGCTTCATTTGAATATCATCATCACATATCATTTCACATAAAAGTTGCATTCCCACAATATATATATATCAAAATGTTAAGTAATGAGAAATCAGCTGCAGAATATGAAATTGGTGAGCCTCCTAAATTAAGCTAAATTTGTAAACAATTAGAGTTAGGAAGCTTTGTTTGTCCATTAACATTGTAGGTATGTAACGGATAAGATTCTCCACTATTAAATAAGGGTGGGATTGAAAGCAAAGGCTGGATATCTACCGGTGCTTTTAATATACTGTATATTTATAGCTAAAACAGCATTATTTGAACACGGTTCATGTTTTTAGCTTGTTCTGGGATCATTGTTTTTTTTACATATTTGCAAAGTGAGAATGCAACTTGTAACTTTGTACTGTACACTTTCACATTTTGTATGCTATTAAATCCCTCCAACAGATTTTCAAAAGTTCAAATGTTTCTGTTAGTTTTTGCTGAAGACATTTACCGGTACTGGTGTTTATCAAGATTAGAGGTACTTTAGAACTAGTTGAACAGCTACAAATTGGGCTAATTTATGTAAATTAGATCATTATAATTTTAACCTTAAACTTAATCACATCTGTAAATTTCCTCAGAGCAATCTATGTTGACACTAAATTATTTGTTTTATATTTTTGGCAAACCAGCAGTGTCTGCACTGAGACACCAAATTATTTCTTATTAACACATACATTGTGTTCAGTACCAATAAACAAGTACGTCTTTCCTCATTCACATACAAGTAAATCAGACAAGAACATTCCTATTTTATTTGCTGAAGACAATTTTATTTTTCAACCTATTTTATGCTCAGATTTGGGAAAGTAGAAAGATATACATAAAATGTGCTCTATATTCCTAACGCATGCACCGAGATATGTACACCCCCAACCCAGTTAAAAAATATTCGCTATCTCACTTTATATCACAATAGTTCAAGTATTTTGTTTTTATTGACTCAGTCTATATTAAAGTCTTGATTTAAGCGATATGTGGAGTAGTGCATCACTAATAAAAGCATACTTAAAAAGTATTCAGATAATAGTCATTCAGGTAAGTACATGAGGTTCAAAATAAAGCATGTTATTTAAAATCTGCAGTTTGAGAGATTAGGCTAAAAATTTGCATCTGTCAAGTGATAAATGCTCTTGAATAAAAACTTTCTGGACACGCCATTGTTTCTTCAAATCAGCCAAGCCCAGCATTCCAGTTGTTTGACCTATATATACACATGAACCCGTGATTTGTTGCAGGAGTTTAGAAAAGCTCTAGGATATGTTGATAGGAGGATCAATTTAATAGTATATGTACTAAACATTCAATATATGATTCTTATTGACAATAAATCGTAACACCTATTGGTCATTCACTTTGATCTATTTCCAATAATATTTGGTCAGTATGTGTATTTATTGGGTAGCATTTCCACCTTCTGTTGACACTAGAGGGCATAGTACATAAAGTGCCCTCTAGAGTTGTATTATTAAATTCTTGACATAGACAACTTCCTCAGATGTAGTGAGAATGGGGTTCAAGAAAGATGCAAGCCTTTATCATGGTGTCAAATACAAATAAGTCTGTTGATAAAAAAGAATCTTGCTTTGTCGCATTGATTGTCGTAAACATCTGCAATCACAAGTGTGATAGTTCACGCTGTATCCTATATGCGCATACATGAAAAACGCTATATTCAACATCAGGAAAAGTGGTCTATGAATGGTGTGTGTCACAACCAGAAAAAAAGTTGTGCAATAACTATAGCAGGACGGGGAAAATTTGTTATTTCAGTCACAAAACTGTCGTAAACAAAAGATAAGTTTTTACAGAGTCACAAATTAAACACTATACACGTAGTTGAAATAAATTGTCAAATAGCATAAAAAATGTTTGCCATGGAAGGCCAATATAAAAGATCAGATTTCTTATTTTAGGTATTTAAAAACGGCAGTACCTATTCCCTTTTGGTCCTATCTTACTGCAGAAGCAGTCCTAATTTAAATCAAATACCGTAATTGCTGAGGAAAGAAAACTCCTCAAAAGCCGACACAACATGCTATCAAGCAGTTTTTCATTTCAATTCGTTGCAAATTTCTTAAATTGAGAGGCATAAGACAAATTTATATTTTAGAAAAACTTTTACTGATGTACAACTGACTGTCAACTAAACTGTGGCAAGATGAAAAGTAACTTTTCATTAAATTTTAGCATGAAGATGACTTTGAAGACTCCAAGAAAAAATCAACTACCGGTAGTAAAAGTGTTGCCCAGTTATAAAGTGTACTTGAGCTCCTTGATTAATATTAGTAATATACCTTGAGAAATCTTACAACAGATCAACTAATAAGTCTCATTTGTAAACCTGGCATTTCTAACCATTTGAAAATCAATTTGAAACACATGAATTTCCATTTGCAAATATTTGACTAATTTTAGTGATATGGAAAGTATTTGCGTTGAAAGCATAGATGTCTCCATGTCTCTTGCATTCAAACCCAAGATCAAATACTGCTAGAACATTTGTAAAAGTAAATAGAAATAATATAAGTATCAAGCAAACAATGCATTGTGGGAAATCACTGATAAATCATATTTTATATATACATGTCGTGGAACTTATGTCAAAATAGGCAGTTTTTTCATGGCAATGAGCAATTTCCAAATTAGTATAACAAACGATTCCATATACTTGTAGCTTAATAAAAGAAATGTTGAATTCACCAAGATTTTGTTGTCACCCCCCCCCCCCACCTCTATACACAGTGGTGAATACAAACATGATAAAACCAATAACTTCATTTTTATTGTAGCCATACTCCCAGACTTTATGAATATCACAAATATATGCCTCTGATAAACTGCTTTCAAGATGCCAACAGTGATTTCATTCTTCAAATATGATGTATTCTGATATGCATATTGTAAGTCCATTGGCTGATCCTCTATAGCACCGATACCCACTTCAGAGGATTCACTTTCAACTTGTCTCATAGATGAGTGTCATCCAAATTTACTTCAACACTGGGGTCAAATAAACTTTTTAAAGTTTTGTTTTTTCTTATTAGTGTCTCTAATTTCTTTCTGGCTTTGACTTCATCTTCCAGACCACGTTTGAGTCTTTTAGATTCCTCTGTCAGTTCCTTGACCTGGTCTTTAAGTGCATACACTGTATCTACAAGGCTCCTGTACACAAATTAATAAAATTAAGTCACAAAAAATGATGCATTCATGTATTTTTACTTTTTGAAAATACAGCCCAGGATTATTAGTAATAACAGATACATGGACTGGATGCAATGAATGACCATTGCTACCATAGTAAACATTTCTGAAATCCTCCAACAATGATAGAATTTATGTGGTGTTCCACTCACTATTTGCCACTTCACAAGCTTACGTACAATGATAATAATATTTCATTACCTATTCAGATTTATGCAAACATCACATAAATTGGTCTAAAATTCTCAATATTCATTGGCCAATTCAAATGCTGCATGATGGGAATTCCCCATAATTCTGTGGCAAGGATTGACACATGTTGCCAGCATTTCATTCAAACAATAGAATTAATAGCCAAGAGCTGATAACAATAAGATATTTCCAGTATAACAGTTAGGCATTAGTGATGTTTTGTGAAGCAAGTAAAACACCACACAAGTTCTAGAATACAAAAAACGACCAACAGGAACTCCAAATTTGAATTATTGTGTAAGCCATATAATAGCGTTTTCACTAGTTACGTTGACGTAAGTTGCACCTGATCACGTTCTCAACCAGCTATTCTTAAAAGAGCCGTAAATATGGCAGTCATTGGGTAACTCGTAGATAGACAATGTTCCTTTGACTGGCTGAGCACTAAAATTCAGTTTAGGACACCAATACACTTATAACACCCTTTGCAAATGATCGTCGGTGTTGTTTTTCTCTGTCGCTGTTATAAGTTACATTGGTGTGCACATGTGAAAATGATAATAATGTTATGCCAACTAAGATCTACAAATAGATAATAACAAATTGTGTTTGATCCATGGCAGAATACATACTTTTCTTCTACAATTGTTTGGTTTCCTTTTGTTTCCTCCACAATAATCTTTTCTTCTTCAGCAATTATAACTTGAGGAACTTCATCCACCATGTGAACTGTAAAAATACAATAAGATATAAAGTGATTCTCACAATAGTGAGTAAATACAAATAATTGTACCAGTGACTTCCACTGCGTCCTACAGACAGGGTCACAGTGACTTTCACTGGGTCCTACAGACAGGGTCACAGTGACTTCCACTGGGTCCTACAGACAGGGTCACACTACTTTTCACATGGGTCCTACAGACAGGGTCACAGCGACTTCCACTGCGTCCTACAGACAGGGTCACAGTGACTTCCACTGCGTCTACAGACAGGGTCACAGTGACTTCCACTGTGTCCTACAGACAGGGTCACACTACTTTTAACATGGGTCCTACAGACAGGGTCACAGTGACTTTCACTGGGTCCTACAGACAGGGTCACAGTGACTTCCACTGGGTCCTACAGACAGGGTCACACTACTTTTCACATGGGTCCTACAGACAGGGTCACAGCAACTTCCAGTGCGTCCTACAGACAGGGTCACAGTGACTTCCACTGCGTCCTACAGACAGGGTCACAGTGACTTCCACTGCGTCCTACAGACAGGGTCACACTACTTTTCACATGGGTCCTACAGACAGGGTCACAGTGACTTCCACTGCGTCCTACAGACAGGGTCACAGTGACTTCCACTGGGTCCTATAGATGAGGTCACAGTGATTTTCACATGGGTCCTACAAACAGGGTCACACTACATGTACCTTTCACTTGGTCCTATAGACTGGGTTACAGTGACTTCCACTGGGTCCTATAGACGAGGTCACAGTGATTTTCACATGGTCCTACAAACAGGGTCACACTACATGTACCTTTCATCGGGGTCCTACAGACAAGGTCACAGTGACTTTCACTGGGGTCTGATAGAGAGGGCCACAGTGCCACTTTAAATAATCAAATAGCGACAACTTACAGTGTCATTATTTAGGGTTATGTAATTAATAATTTAATTATTTTTTTCAACTAGAATTACCCCAACAATTTTTCATTGGAAAAGAAATTCATAAACATTTACATCAGCTAGATTTTGAATAAAACTGCATATGTATATCCACAAAGCTAATTGGCAATTATTTAAGTTTAAATTCACTTGATTAAGCACTATCGTTTAATTAATAAACTTGCAACTCACTATCACACATATATACATTTCAAACTTTTCTAGTACGTGATACCACAAAAACCAAGCCTAAACATTGTGATAAAGGTTTCATTGAAAATTAACGATCCATGTCTACAGGCACACTCAGCTCAACATTTTGATATTGTAAGTATCAACATGGTTGATTCAGCTCCAACTTAGTTTACGTTTTGACATTATCATTATAGATTCAATTGTAGTGTGATACCAGTATCTTAAATATGTGCTTTTTTTCAAAATACGACATACTTTGTCAAGTTCAGGATTCAAAGTTTACCCACCTGGGATTCTCCCCCTAGACGACAAAAATGGTTTATTTTACAAATGAAGCCAATTAGTTCTGTACCCAAAATATAAAAAAGTTGAAAGAATGATATCTTTCTTTTGAAGTCTCCAAACTGAAGCAAATTATACCACACTGTTACTGACAAGTTGACAATTGACAAAGCTGAATACTCAGTAAGTAAGTAAATCAGTCCAGCATTTCAAACCACAATTCCACTCACATTGTAAATAAAGCCATCCCTAACAGAAAGTGGTTTAAAAATAAAGGTAATTAAATTTGAGACATGTTTTTACCGCACACGTAGATACACATTATAATTGTGATGTGAAACCTGTACCTTGTAACAAAGTAAACCATATAAGGAATCATGGAAATGATACTATGTGTGAAACACGATATAAATGCTAATGACAGGAACCAGGAAGTGAGAAAATACCGGTACATAGGAAATGCAAATATGTAGTGGTCACAGTTATTATAATTTGTAGACTAAACTAGTTCCTGGCTTGAAATGATTCCAATCTACGATTCCAACCTGTCAGTTAGGGAATTTCAAGGTCATCCAAAAAACACACCCACTGCCTCAAAATATAGAAGTGATGGGACAATAAGTAAATGGTTGGTTGGCAGACACTAGATATTAAGCAATCATACTTTTGTCAATAAATCAATCGATGTAATATATATATATATATATATATATATGCATTAGTTTGAGGTAGTATGAATAGTGTTTCTTTCACTAATTTACATCAAAGATATTTGTTAATAGAGAGAGGGAGAGGGAGAGAATTCATAGCCAATATTGCAAAGTAGGAGTCAAATTAAACTGTAGTACAAATATAAATACAAAATTAGTTTTGACCAATGTAGCTGTCAAGAAGTATTAGTACTGTAAAATCTGTATTATAATCTGCGGCTTCTATTAAAATGGTACAATGCAACAGAGGGGATGCAGCTTCTATTAGAGCATCTACACGTATAAAAATGGTGAATTTTTCGTTCTCAATTGTTCAAAAAGAATGCGTGTAACTTCTATTAGAGATGCAGCTTCTAATACAGATTTTACGGTAGTATTTATTTCTTCCTGAACAAAATTTAGATTGGATTGTAGAAAGGCAATGAGTTTGCACTTGTATATTATTGTAAGTTATAGTAATCATCACTCATATATTCATCCCAATCATCTGCAGGGAATATATGATAGATTTAGGAAAGGAGAAAAAACAAAACAATTATTTCCATCATATGAAATCTTTATTTTTCTTGAAATATATAATTAAAGCTTGATCCAAACCATCAATACAAAAACCCAAATATACAGTTGTAATAAAATATTGGCACACACTCTCACACATATAATATAATGTAGATCTTGGAGTAAAGAAATTGTACAACATTCAAGGCATGTTTCACAAACCATCACATGACTGTTCATCAGACCCAAGTAAACAAGCAAGGTGTTCCCTGATTGGCTGGTGAAGAATTGTGAGTGGATAGTAAGCCAATGAGAGATAATCTCTTAGTCACTATACACTCAAATTTTTACACCAAGCATAGTCAAAGGTATGGCAGTATCCAAAAAGTGTTTCTCTAAAACCATTTCTGTTGAATTTCTATTAAAAATATAGCCTTTATTAGTTTCAGAGTCCAAATATCAATTATCCAAACATTATGTTTTGTTTGATCCCAATAACATTAGCTTTATTCCATGTATTTGGATAAAGTGAGATTTGACTGAAATGATAATGAAAGGTTACTCAAGTATCAATGAGATCCAGTTTAAAAACTTTGTGTCATCTACTGAAGCAGTGAATACACAAAGTAACTGAAGTATTTGTTCTATTAGAAGCTCATGCACTTATGCAATGATAGACAGTTATTATTAGTTTATTTGAGATGTACTTGTAATAGAGCAAATACAGTACCGGTATTCAACAATTTTTTCTTAGGCCTTAAAACAATACCAAAAATCGATATAAATAATACTGTTTAAGATGCAGAAATGTATTTTGTAAGATCACATAGTGTCACCAAAACACCCATTACCACCCAGTACACATGCTCAGTTTATTTATAAAATACAACATTTTCAGTTTATATATTATATTCTTATTATATATTGTTTTTGACTAAATCTTTCACACATTTCTGGTTACATTGCAAAGGAATAAAATTTAAAAGATGTAAAACTAATAGGAAATACAACATGCATAATAAAGAGAAAAAAAACAACATAATAATGTAAAATCTTTTTAAAAAGTTTTAAATTTATATCCCTTGTATTTGTGGCATCTCATTCAGCTTGTTGCTTAAAATCGTTGTAAGAATGGTTTACAAAGAAAATATATGTAAGTTGAAATGGAGCACTTTAATAGTGCCCTGTATATTGAAGTGAAAATATAAACATACACCGATACACCTTGTGTAGTTTCATTCACTTGGGTAAGTGTCTTTGTATACAAGATTTGCATCTATATTTTGATAACATAAATATTTGTCAATCATGTGACACAAGATTCAGACCCTAATTACTTGGTCACATGACTGTAATCTTTTTATATGATTATTAGCACCATTCCGTTCATATGCAAATTCAGCAGGTAAAACAGTCCAATCAGTTTCAAGTTTTTACGTCACATGACAGGCAATCTGAAATAATCTAAAATTCTAATTCAGAATTCCCAGCATAAGAGATGGAATGGGCTGGCCAGTTTCAGAAGGGACACAGTGTGCGTGAAAATGCATTAAAACTGTTAAAATAACAAATACAAGATGAAGAATTGCTCACTGAAAACGAAAAGATTCTGTTCTCATGGTAACCACAGAAATTGTACTAATGATATCAAGTTCAACTGATAACAAGTTTGTTTTCTTCTTCATCAGTCATGTGTCGTCTTGCAATGGTTCTTCTTCATCTTCAAAATTTCTTTAAGTAGGCAAGAGCGTTACAACATGTGACATTCCCGCTTGGAAGCAGCAACGAATAATCCTCGTACTCAGACATCACTGTTTTTCCTGTACTGGTGCTCCTGTTGCTATGGTATCCATCATCCTTCAGTACGATGTTGTACAAGGGTTGGTTCACTGTGTAGTGCAGGGGTGGTAGGGTGCAGAAAGTTGGCGGGTGAGTTGATAAAACCACATTGGTGGGAGACAGACATGGAAAAAGGGAACAGTACAAACCATATTAGCCATTCAACCAAATAAATAAATAATAAATAAAATGTGAATATTATCTTGCAAATATGGTAGTGTGAGTGGAAAATATAAATTTTGCCAAAGCATGCAGAAGCTTCAGAGTGAGTGTAGACAAGAATACGAGTTGAATGCAATGCTCTTAAACGGCACAATTAATAGCATGGTGGAATTAACTTTATTGGAGAATATGTATTTGACTGAACGACTAATATGGTCTATATACAACAAGAGAGTGGGTTACCTCTATTTTTGGTTGCATTTAGGGGAAGGCTTTGATTAGGGGGGTAGGAGATGGAGCAATTATAGTGCTTTGAAGGAATAAGTCATTTTTTTTTCAATGACTGATATATATGGTAAATATATATATCTGTTACTGAGTTGAAAGTCATAAAACACTATTTCATGCTTCATTCATTATGTAATCTTTTCCTACTTGAGTTAGGAATTGTCATTAGAAACTCTAGAAGGTGGAGATGTACAACAATTGTGCAAATATTTCCCCCTCAGTTTTCATTTTAATTTACTAGGATGCAGTTATTTTTTGGAGCTTGCAATTTGTTTTAGGAGAGACACTGTCCTTTATCAAATGCATTTTTTGTTCCAGCTTTTTTCTGTAATTTCCAAATAGTTTTTTTCCAAAGTTTAATGTACTTTTTGAAATTTCTATCATCTCCCTTCTTCCTCTCTAGTTTCTAATAGTCAACACTCATGATGAGTGGTTTTAAGATCGCCAGTACCAGTAACACTGGAAGCAGGTAAGATGTGGTACTGTCAATTGTAACATTTGGATGAACTGTACTACATAAACATGTTTCCTTTATGAGAAAAATCAATGAATTCATACAGAAAAAAGGGAAAAACATATGAAAGAGTTTGCACAGCAATTTAGCCATATATAAATAACTTTCAGAAATGTTCTTGTCCAATTTAGGGTTGTTAAAAATATTAGCAGCATGTTCACAAGAATACAAATCAGGTAGCGAAATGACAAACCATAACAGCATGAACAAGAAAGCTTTAATATATATCCCTATACACCCATCATATAACACATATAAATGTCAGCAAGATCATTGCAGAGAGAGTGACAGGGGTGGACTGGTGATAATAATATGAACTTGATAAATAAAGTCAAACTCACCTGACATATGACCTTTGCCTGTTGCGCTTGTACAGTATGCTTCAATGACTTTGAGTATGAGTGCGTCATCATGTAGACTTTTAGCGTCGTTTCTCCTGGACGGTTCTTCTTCAACTTTAACACGTTCTATGAAAATATAAACAAGAGTTTAAACTTAGTTAGAAAGACTCTAATCTAAACACTATGTATGATCCATCAAAGGCCATTAATTTGATGCGATTTAAAGAATGGGTTCACCTATAACTTGATCGCCACAGACGGCTGTAACTGGGAGCTGCACGTGATTGAATGTTCTTTACTGGGCCTGGTTGATTCCGAAAAAGCACACTAAATTGAGATTACCGAGTAAGCCAAAAAAAATTTCTTGATCTTTGGTGACTCTATAAAATTCCCCAAAACTGTAATTTTTTCTTTGAAATTTTTGTGGTATGTACATCATTTAAAAGACATACAAAACGAAAGAAAATATTTGGCGAAAAAAAATGGGCTTTTTGCTTTCAACTTTTGTCAGGCCATATGACAGATATTCACCAACATGGCATAAATCTTCTGTACAAATGCAGAAATTATGATTTCAATGAAAAATATAGAATATATAGAAAATATAGAGCCTAAGCATTAAAAAGTGACAAACAGTAACACTTGACTAACCTTGTTTCCTTTTCCCAGAATGCAACATTTTTCGGGCCATTTTTGGACTTTTTTGTGCTTCATCCTTGATCATGAGAACTGTTGTGGGTCGGAGCGGTGGTGATGGACGTAAACAACTAATGCTCCAAGTTTTGGGACGCAAGTGTTCAGGTAAAGATGCATGCCTTGTGGGACTGGCTGAACTTCTACTGTCTGTACTGCTTGTTGATCTTTGGGAAACCTAGTATTTATTATGGAAACAATAAAAAAAACAATATCAGAAATAACGCAGAGAAAGTATTGTTTAGAAAATTATTACAATCATAAGAGTTGAAATAAATTGTCTTTTTCTGTATTTTAATGACCAAACATGGAATAATTACATTTTCATACAGCAAATAATTCCTAGGCCTTCCAAATAAATGTTAGCCATCAAATACTATGAGAACTGATCAGTACACCATTGCATATAATGCAACATTACACAGTGAAATTCATTCAATATGGTCTGACTTTGCTGTACCTTGAGTGGTTTGAACAAATATGCAAAAACCCTACTGCATAACTACTAGGCCTGATGAATCGGTTGGATGTCACAAAATTAATCACTCGCTGTCACTGCACTTTTTAAAACCAAAATATGAGCAAACTCTGCCTGGTTTGCTCTTATTTTTTGAACTAATTGACTTTTTGTTTTAAAAGTTTCATGACACCTCGTGATAAGTTGCGTGGCAGTCAACAAATTCATCAGACTTGGCTGTTAGGTAGTGGGCGCGATTCAACGAGCGAAAAATCAGTTTAGCGGTTTCTGCAGTATATTATCCCCACAGCTGATGCACTCTTTACTATGAAAGACTCCAACGAGCATACTTGTATACACACTGACTGTAACATTAAGGATGTACAAACACTAACCTGTCCAGAACTGTGTTGTGACTGCATGGGACTAGACTTGATACATTTTTGTATTGCTTCATTCCATTCTTTTTGTTCTTTAGGACTGTTTGTCTGCACCAGAATCTTCTCAATAAAGTTACCAGTGATTTCAAAGGCATGGTAGTATTCGTCAGTATCCTCCTGTAAATTGACCCGAATTCCAGAGAGGGGAATCTTACCCTGCAAAAAAGAGATGTCACTAATAACAATAAATTCTATATTTGATTTCTGTGCACTTCTATAAGGAATGTGCTTCTAACAGAGCAAATACAATTTAGAAATATCCTGATGACATCCCAAAATTTGATGCATTCATCTTTCTGTTCCACTTTTAATTTTGACTTATTTAAATTAAAATAATCTCAGACATGTACTAAATATATCAAAACCATGGAAGCAGATTCACTCACCTGGTAAACAAACCCACTCATTCTTGGACTGACTGATAACATGACTAAAACACTTGGAAACAGCAAAAGATATCTCTCTTTCTTTTCCTCTCCGATCACTGTCACCTGAGACATTTTCACTATGTCCCCTAAGCATGATATATCCTAAAAAAGAAAAAGAAATGTATGAAACTGAAATTTATTCTGAGTTGCATACTGCATCAGTGTGGCAAGTCCAGAGAGAGTAGCACTTGGAATATGTGACATAAATCTGAGACCATACAGAAAAAAACATTGTTTACTACTGGTAAAACTGTAATGGTCACTTTGCAGTATTGTGATAAAGTATCGATGTTGACAATGAAAGTATTATTTAATTTGTTACATCAAATAATCAAGATAAAGTGGAATTGGTGAGAAAGAGCATTTTATAAACACAATGTAGCAGTATTTTCTGATTTCTTTTTTAAATATGGGTATCTAGGAACAGGCACCAAAATATAAAATGTTTAGTGATCATCTCACCTCCCCTTCCCACTGTCTGATGGCTCCTGTCAATATCTCGTGCTCCATATCTTTCTGTTTCCGTACTTCCAAGCAGATGGTCTGAAATAAATAACAGATTCCACAACCTCATTTACAACATTCTTGTATTTCTGTGACATGTACGTAGTATTGCTAGTGATTGTCAAAGACAGACTGTGTGACTGATGAATCCCTCTCCATACTACCTAACAAACTATATTCAGTCACACTCATCCTATTACATGGATGCATAATCCTCACCATAAAATAAATAACAGGCGAATTATGCTATATGACCCAGCGGTAGTTAATCATGGCATTTAATAGTTCACAAGGGAGTGATTAAATCTATCCATTGAAACTGTTAGCAACAACTACACTGTCATATTTCATCTTATTATGAGGTCTTTTCTTTATATTTATTGTTTCGAGAAGCAACTGTTTCATGGAAGGCGATAAAAATTGACAATATTAAATATATAATTAATAAACAAAATAGTTCATATACCTTCTGTGAATATTAATTGAATAATTTGCATATCATAACACTCTGAATGGCAAAGTAAATTGTTATCACTTTTCACACACAAAATCTGCAAAATCTTTTCTGTATTTTTCAAAAATTGTTATCAAGAGCTGTAGCTCTTATAAAATTATGTTCATTTTGTTCAAAATGAACTAAACAAGTCATTGAAAATGACACAGTCCCCGTTAAACTTTTGAAAGTTCTCTTTGTGCTCGTCATATTAAAGGGGAGGGGTTGTCGTGAGCGTGTCCTTGAAACTTGAGTTCCAAGTGGCGTATACAACAGATTGTTTATTTACATGAAAACATGTGTTTCGTGTAGTAGTAATATGGCCAAAAATAAAAACAGCCGTTATTCGACCATCTTTGATCTGATTATGAAATGCACTGATATGTATGATGTATGTGCCAAATACAAATGAAAATGGTACATAAATTGTGGAAATATAGTAGTAAGGCCAAAAAGTCAGATGGCTGTCAATCGGCCATCCTTGACCAGATTTTGAAACAAATTGTCATGGACATGCATCCTAACATGTATGTGCCAAATTTGAATGAAAACTGACAGAGCACGTCCAAGATACCGCATAAAAAAACAAAACAATATCCAATTGTGAAATAAATCGTCATGTACATGTATACTAACATGTATGATCTATGTACCAAGTTTGAATGAAAACTGACAAAGCATGTCCAAAATACAACATTTTCAAAAAACAAGAGGGCTGCCAGTCGACCATCTTTGATCCAATTGTGAAATAAATCGTCATGTACATGTATCCTAACATGAACATTGTATAATCTATGTACCAAGTTTGAATGAAAACTGACAAAGCATGTCCAAAATACAGCATTTTCAAAAAACAAGATGGCTGCCAGTTGACCATCTTTGATCCAATTGTGAAATAAATCGTCATGTACATGTATCCTAACATGTATAATCTATGTACCAAGTTTGAATGAAAACTGACAAAGCATTTCCAAAATACAGCATTTTCAAAAAACAAGATGGCTGCCAGTTGACCATCTTTGATCCAATTGTGAAATAAATCGTCATGTACATGTATCCTAACATGTATAATCTATGTACCAAGTTTGAATGAAAACTGACAAAGCATTTCCAAAATACAGCATTTTCAAAAAACAAGATGGCTGCCAGATTGAATTCAGTGAAAATTACAGAAAATGTGAACAAATTTACCCAGATTTAATCCACAAAAAAA